GGCCAACATTATTGTTTAGCTTCAGTAGTTCTCTGTCTGTGACATGCGCGTCTTTAATGTATTTACAGGCTGCAATCCTAACTGGTAGCAGTTTTTGTTTTGTGAGTCTGGACTCGGGCTCTAGCCATCTTTCTGAAGCACTGTAAAACCTTCCTATGTGGGCAGGCATTTGGCAAACAACACTTGGCTAAGACACTGTTTAGGGGGTCTCTTCCATGCTGGTACTCTAGGTCCCTTTCACGATGTTCTGCTTATAAGTGATTCTGCTGTCTTACTATAAGCTGCCCTGAACCCTCATTGCAGAGGGTGTCATAGAAATGGAATAAATAAGTCAAGCTCTGCTTGTCTCCCATTGCAAAATCACCCTATGGATCCCTCTGCACCTCTTCCAGCCTGGGTTCAGCTTTCCAATGTGCCTGATTGCTCATGCAGCACCATATCAGCTCTTTGGTGAAAACCCTCTCCACTGGAGTAATCAAACGTGTCTTTGAAGAGACAGAACCATGGCTCCCAACAAATCAATATGTGTCTGTTTATTTACACCATATCATTCTGTTAAATATTCTTTTAAATGTCCCACGGGCAAATATGTTCCCTATTTTTAAGCAGGGTGGGCATGCTGTCTCTCATTTTTTCTCTCAGCTGCATGTATTCACTGAGATTGCTGCTTTATTTCCCACCCCCACCTCAGTTGAAGTGTGACATCTCATAACCAGGGGATCTGGTTTTCTCTGATTTAAAAAATCCCCATTTTTCAGTTTTAAAAGAAGTAACCCCACATCCACACTTTTCCATGACTTAAATAAAACACCACTAAGATATGATAGATAGATATCCCGCTATTTATATGATACATATATCTATATCTGTCTATAGTGGTATATATCTATATATTATATCTCTATATAATATAGATAGATATAGTGGTGTTTCATTTTAATCATAGAATCACTATATCTATCTACAAGTGGTATTTCATTTAATCATGGAAAAATGTCTATTTGGGGTTTCTTTTTTTTAACTGAAAATTGGGGATTTTCTTAAATCAGAGAAAACCAGGATTCATGTTCATAACAACCCATGTCAGGAGGTGCATATCCTGCAGCAGAGAACAGATGCTGAAGGGGAGGGTAATCTGTTCTATTATGGGTCTTTTGCTTCATAACTTCTAGGCTCCATGGTACCACCTTTTTCATATCAATATATCTCTTTACAGCTATAAAACAAGGTGGTACAGTTTGATCAGGCTCAGAAAAGCAACTATGAAAGTGACACCACCCAATTCTCTCTGTGCATAAGACTGAGCCACTTGCTTTACTGAGAAGGTTTTGCTGTGGAACAACCGAAGCTGGACTTGGACATCTGTCTTGAACAAAATAGTCAGGTTTTCACTGCTTATTGTTAGTAATACTGTAAAAAAACACTTTTAGACTGCAGATTTGGGAAGGGGGGCCATGGGTCCGAAACCTTTCTACTCATACACCGAACACGGCTCATATGAAGTAAGCGAGGAAAGAAACACGGAATTCAGAATTACTGAATGACTCTATCGCTCCTCTGATTAATTCCACTTTACATTTTTCACTAAAGATCGTTATTCAGTGACGGTCGCTGAAATGCCCATGAATATGAAATGACTATTTTTACAGAGCAAGTAGGAAATATTTTATGTGACTAGGGTCCTCAGTTTGCACATGCAAGTGAAAAAAATCCAGTTACCTGCCTGACTTGCTGCTTCGGTCAAGGAGTTAGAAGGTCAACTACTCTAATTTGTGCCCATGCAGACCCACGGGCACGAGACTGCCTGCATCAGGGAGGGTCTATTTCAAATCAAGCCTCAATTGGGAACACTTATTTAGGTTTTCCCACTGTACAATGAGCAGCAGCTACGGATTTTATGATGTTACTCATTTACTCCCGTAAAGAGAAAGCGTAAGAGTGAAAGTGTAAGACTCACAAAAGAGTGTATGAAATCAAGGCTTTTTTTTCCCTTAGGGTTTATAAAGCCTTGTTTTCCGCTACTGAATGTGATTTTTTTAAGTCAAAAGTTTTAAAAAGTGTGTTTAAATAGTGGATGCAGCGTTGTGCTCTGCTTGCTGATGTTATGCTGCACTTAACAGAAAGGCAATGTCACCTCCTCCGGGAATTTTACATATGGCTATCTAAAGATTATTACACCATGGGCCAGATCCTGCTGCCCTCTCTATGCAGGCAAGCTTGTCGAATTCTCCCCCCCATACGCAGGATTTGTTCTCCGTATCTTCGTGGGACAGCACCTCTGCTGTGAATGAATTCACCTTCAGAAACTACTTCCAAATTTTGAATTCATGTCCAAAATTGGTGGACTCGGTGCCCCATGGTACCAGCTGCACCTCCCAGCACCTCATTTCACCTTTTAAAATGCAGTATATTGAATCCTAAAATGATGCTGCTTCACCTGGAATGGTGCCTGCTGCAGGCTGCGCTTTTCGCTTTGAATTCATTCCTGCTTTCTACAAAATCTCCCAATGCCATCGCAGATCCAGACTCGGTAAGGTGCGGCCAGTGCCGTGAAAAGAGGAAGAAAAGTCAGGCTTCTGCTGTCATTATGAAAGCTCTAGAAACTAGGCATTGTCGTGCAGCAGTTCCCCAGGCTTGGAGCGGGTGTCACGATCAGGTGCTGATCCCAGCCGCTGGCTGGGGCTCGCTCCATCTGTCTCCCTTTCCTCCTCTTGCAAGCCTGTCCTCCAGCACCTCATCCCCCCGTGTTTTCCACAGCCCCATGCCCTCTGCACTAGCCTGTCCTCGTGTTTTCTCCCGTGTCCAAACCACCACCTCTTCCAAGCTCACATGCTGCTTAAACCATCATGCCTTCATCCCTCTTTTGTTAAAACTCAAGGCTTCAATCCCTGTCCTTCGCCTAGGGACACTTCAGTCCCACTCCACCCTTCCCCTTCCACCTCTGCAGGCTACAACCTTGGTGATTTTTCTCCTTGCACCTGATCCCCCAGCCAAGACATTTAAGCCCACCATTTAGCTCATCTCCTCCTCGTCACTCTTCCACCTGAATTATTAATCGGGTCATGTCATTAGTGAGAGATGCTTTTTAGACTACATCTTTGCCCCAAGCCTAAACTGGTGGTGGGGGGGGATTTTTGTCAAAGGCAAGGCAGGTCTTTCATTCCCAAAGCGCTTTCCTAGCAGAACCGTGCTGGTACAAAGAGAGCGGTGAGCAAAGCAAGTGCAATCTTACCGGCTTGTAAGGGAAAGAGGATGGGGAAAGCACCACTTCTGTGGAGTCGGAGTAACTTCGCCTTTCCAGAACCGAGTCCTGGCGGGATCCCGCACGCTCCTTGTCTGCCTTACAGCGACTAAACGCCAAGCTGGCGGCCCCCTGTATAGTCTCCCCTCTGGAGCACCCCGGGCAGGATTTCTCGGCAGCTCGAGCCCGCCGGACAGGGAAACCCAGGCTGGAGGGAGCAGGAGGGCACCCCCACAGCTCGCTTCCCCTCCCCACCCCCAGCTGCGCCGGGGCGTCCCCGGAGCTCGTGCAGGG